AACCAATCACCAGTCGTGATAGGAACTTCCCAATCCCCACCATCAATGGAGGATAGAAGGACAGACAGTCGGGCAATTGGTGACGACGGTTCATTTAGTCGTCCTACACAATCCTATATCACCCATCGAACGTCTGCCACACAAACGCAACCGAGTGATTCTGTCGTCATCACTTGTCCATCGGATGCAGATGGTTCGGCCTCTCAGCCACNCAAACAATGTTTCTGTCCAACGAGCAATGTAATGGAAACTCAACCAATCAATTCGAACCCCATGGAGAATATACCACCTCCGATATATCCGGAGGGAAGTGCTCACACCGCACAGCAAACGGTATTTGTGAGTGACCATCCATGCGCACCGTACAAAATGCTCCTCCTGCCACAAACATATCCAGACTATTATCCGACCTTTGTACCCGAGCCGGCTAGACCTGTTTCTGCAGGAGCTTATTTAGTGGACTGTGGAGGTGCGAGTATGCCGGTGCATGTTCGATCAGATACCATGTTCACCGGATTACGTCGACCGGGATGTCGATGCCAAACGGCTAGCTGCTGTCATCTTTATTGGGCTGGAAATTATGGCCGGGAGCCGGATTATGTGACAATGAATATTTCACCTCCTGTACGCAATTAGGGCGCTAATCAACACCATGGAAACGACACTTATGGAGTTAAATCCCTAATGAGCTACTTCACATAAAGATGTTTGATAAATTTTCCCCCAGACGAGTATGAAATCTCATAGTGACAATATTGATGGTCACGACGGGAAATTGAATGCTCTGATCTGTTTGTCTGTTTTTAAAGTCATCTATTTTTGCTTATCCCTTTTTAATCGAGGAAAAAACAAGTTGAGTGTTTTCTCACTCCTGAGTACTTTACTGTATTCCTTCCGTTCAGTTACTACGTCGATGCCTCTGTTCGACCTTATGTTGAAATACTAACTTTGAGCATCGGGTTTTATGTGAGGTAAATGGATTTCTGGGTGATATTTTATTTGGGCAAATCTGTATACCTTGCCAAAAGCAGTATTTTAAAGTTGACCACCATTGACTATTCAGTCACATTTCTTGATGGAAGGTTTATGATTTGTCGAACGATGAGAGCGAGAAAATAGGTCACATCGTGCTGTAGGTGCCATGGGCACGTGAACCGCACTAAGACATACCATTAGCATGCAAAACGCATTTAAGGTCACCCAACTTTCCTCTGCTTGGCGATAGAGGTATTCAGGTATGGTATGTGCTTTGCACCTTCCAAGTGCAAAGTGCTGGTTCAAGACTGGCAGGGAGCCTCGCCTGCACTCACCCTCTGTGGTAATCAGCTAGAAGTAGTTGAGAATTGTAAGTACCTCGGGGGCTTGATCGCATCTGGTGTTGGGGACGAGATCACATCATGAATAGCGAAAGCTAGAGTAGCTTTTGCCAACCTACGACACCTGTGGCGCAGCCACGACATCCGACTGTCCCTTAAAGGAAGGGTGTACATCGCCGCATTTCGTAGTGTTCTGCTTTACGGTTGTGAGACCTGGACTCTCCGAGCGGAGGATGCTAATTGACTTTCTGTGTTTGACCACTGATGTCTCCGAAGCATTGCTCGTGTCTGGTGGGAACATCGGGTGAGCAATGACGAGGTCCGTCGTTGTGTGTTGGGTGTGGATAGTCGTTCTCTAGCAGAAGTAATCGCTCTACACCGCCTCCGAT